GGGGAGGGGTGGATATTTCCATAGTTTTCTGGAGTAATTTAGTCTGGAAAACTGTGGGAATGATGTCTGGACTGCAGTCCAGACACCGGAAATAGTGGGTTTATCCCGTGCCTTCCAAGAAGGCACAGAATAAATCCACTATCTAATTTATATGCTACAAATCAGGATTTTCCTGGTTTGTAGCAAATTAATTTGGGACTGTCCAGAACGTTGTCTGGACAGCCCCTTGTTTATTGCAGGAGTTACCGCAATAAAGGTACTGTCTGGATGGGCCCAAGGAGAAACAATCCCTAAAAGGGTGATTTCTTAAGTCTGATGCCTTTATTCCAGGTCTTATTGCAGGATATAAGGAGAAACAGTCCCAAGAAAGGATGGTTTCTTAAGACTGATGGCCCAAAAATGACAGAAAGGGGAACCTTGTAAGTTCCCGGTTGCCACAAATAGTCTGGATCTTCCCTGATCTTTTGGTTGTTGGATTTAAAAAGGGGTTTTTTTCCCAACCAAATTTGGGAGATCCCAAAAAAATGGATCTGGGGGTCCACTGAAATCCTGATATGGAAAACAGAACAGAGTTTAACCGAATTGCACACCCCTAGTAGATTGGCAGAGAGCTTTAGAAGCTGCATAAAATAGGGTAATACTAGTCCCACAGTTCCTGACACAAGTAAGGAACACTGTGCTTTATGTGTGTCTATGCCACATCCAGCTAAAAATATTGGGACACTACACTTTATGTGCATTAGTGCCACATCCAGCTAAAATTATCCAGCAAAAGCAATGTACCACATCCAGCTGATATGATTGAGGTCAGAGGAGAGAAGATTTGGTTATCAGAATTGGGTTGTGAGAAGCAATGCAACAAATTTTGATATTTTATTAATCACACCATTTTCAACATCAAGTATAATAAACCTTTGACCCATGGTCCTAAAATGTTTGGGCCAGTTCCCCACAGTGATCTCCATCATCCACCCAGTCAGATTCTATGTGATTGAAACTGCAAAGCTTCATGCAAAGTCTGACTTTAGTGTTTGTATTGTTGGAAATAAATAGATTTCAAAATATACATTTCTGCTATTTACATAATCTCTCGAATGTTTAAATGCAGAACTTGCTATTGAAAATATGTTCTATTCTACTTGGAATGCTTCTCTGAATGTATCAGAATAATGGCTTTTTCAATCTGCCACATAAATCACTCTCATTTTCAATATTATGAGTTGCTTGTTAGTTTGATAAACTATGCAATTATTTTAAAATACTGGCCCTTATAGAGAATGCCTGTTGTTTTGAGGTATACTACTGACTTCCTGCTTGTAGTTAAACTCGGAAATACCCATGTGCTATTTACAAAAGCTGCCATTCACAGGGCTTTCCAAGGTGCCTTATAAATAACTTAACTTTCTCACCCAGTTCCCATCACTTGTCAACTGCACTCGAAGTTTACAGACTTGTGAGCTTTACAGCACACCATTATCACATTTCCATTTGATTCTTTACAGGACTCGCACTATAAAAAGTGCCTCTTGAATATATCCAGAGAACCATGATTGTTATCCGTTCGAAATGCCTCCACTTCATTTCCACTTTAATTTATATTCATAAACTAGGGGATAGCTGACATTGCATGTGTGGCAGATGATACACCTTTCACTATTTCATACACTGGGAACATAGTTAAAGGGAAGGGATTAGCAAATCGCTGCAATGCAGAGCAAGCTACTAAAAGACTGGAAATAGGATTTGTGGCTGTTTTGGTATGAGAACTCTCTCCCCTTTCTTCTCGACACAACAAATAAAGAACGATGAGGATGGATATGAAATTGTGGCCAGAACATTTGCATGCTGAATAGTGAATTAATCTAGCAAAACTCCTTATGAACCAAGAAGCTATAGCCCTCTCAAAGTACAGCTCTTATAAATGATGTCTCTGTTGTAATGCTGGACTAGGCTCCAAAGCTAATTTGAAAAATGGTGACTACCTCAGTATTTTCTTTTAATTGAAGCCAGAAAGAGGCAGGTTGCTTTGAGAGGATGATAAATGTATAGCCCTTACGATGTTGTTGTGCTACAGTTTTCAACATCTCGCTATACTGGCTAGGGCACTCAAAATAGAGAAGCAGACTGGGACTGAAAAAGAAGAGATTCATTTGATTTTTCTTTAAAATGGCTAGGGAAATTCTCTGCATTCATATGTTAGATTCAAGTTCCTTTTAGCCACAGCTCTCCATTGGTGAATGATGGGAGATGTTATTCACAAACATCTAGGGTGCATACACTGCAAAATAAATACATTTTGATACCAAGTTAACTGCCAGGGCTCAATGCTATGGAATCCGGGTAATTGTGGTTTAATTTGGCAGAGAAGGCTAAAGACCTTGCAAAACTACAACTCCTGTAATTCCATAGCACTGAGCCATGGCAGTTAATGTCATGTCAAACTGTGTTAATTCCACAGTGTAGATGCTCCCCTAGTGAGCTACACGCTATTTGGAGAGGGGGTCTGGATTTTAAAATAAATAGTGCTAACACAATATTATTTCTTTACCTCCCACAGTGTGCATACTAAAATGTAGTTTTGTGACATTTTTCATCTTGCCTATTGTACTCAGCTCTAAGTGCCTAAAGTCTGCCTCCTGTTCCGAGAAAATGTATCATTTATGCTTTACTCTGGGACATTTACTGTCCCCAAAAGTGCAGTGGTCAGTCTAGATGTAGGAAACAACTATGAGGAAAAGCTCAATTACCTTTTTTATTCTATCACACAGCACTGATTAGACCCTTTTCTAAAACTTGGATTTCCCCCAGAACTCCAATAGTCTATTAGTCAATAAAAGGAGGTGCCTGGATTGGCTCCACTGGACATTCTTTCTCTCAACAGATGACTGTGAGCCAGCACTATGGTAACCTACTGTGAAAGTACTTACTCTGTACTCCTATCAAATGTTGAACTTGGGCCTTTCTAGTCTTGCAACATTTATAACATTACTATCTTGTTCACTGCTCTATTTCCTTCTTGAAGGATGCATGATGGCAAACTTCCAGCACTGAAGCATCATTTTGTTTAAGGACTTGTAAAGACAATTTTAAAGAAGGGGGGGGGGACCTTTAAAAGGACCACATGCAGAGTCTTTGATCCTTTCAGCTAATCTGACAATTTGGATTAACTATAATACATCAAAATCGATGAGTCTCATTTGTTTACCCCAAGGGCCCTTCCACACAGCCATATAACCCAGAGTATCAAGGCAAAAGAAAATCCCACAGTATCTGCTTTGAACTGGATTATCTGAGTCCACAATGCTATATATTCTAGTTCAAAGCAGATAATGTGAGATTTTATTGAGCTGTGTGGAAGGGACCTTGAACACTTAAGTTTAACTTGTCCCTAAGACTTGTAAATTTTATATCCAGTTTATGGGCCAGTCTATCTACAACATTGCATTTTCTAGATATCATTAGATCTATTTTCCCTCTTTGGATTGCAATTTCAATTTTGACATGAGCAGAATCATAGGAAGAGCAATATGGAGACACACTCATTGATTCACCCACTGCCTGTCTTGTTAGAGAAGTCCATGTATTGCTTCTGTTGGGGTGAAAGTGTTCATCCCTTCCACTTTCACCCCAACATTTAGTAAGGTTCCTTAAATTAGAATTGGAGGCTTGACTTTTTCACAAATCAAATTTTTCCTATTGCATGCTGCAGAGTCCACTTTCAAGCCATATACCTTGGCCAAAGGGAAATACTGAAGAAGCAGATAAATTTTCAAAAAGGAACTCAGTCTTCATTGCTTTAGGCATAACCTCTTCTCATCGCAGTGGAAAAACAAATGCCTCATTACATTTCTTGTGCTGCTTATTGCTAGAACTTTACTTTTTTGTTTTGTTTTTAAGGGGAAAAACCTTGAATGGAAACATTTCTGTCAAAATGCACATAAACACATCCTTTGAAAGTAACATTTAAGAGTAATGATGAATTATTATGCATTAGTAGAGATATAAATATTTGGCTAATTTGTCTAATAATTTGCTCCCACATCTGTGAGCAAATAATTTCATTAGTTTTCTCACTTCTGTGGGAGAAAATTGATATTTCTCTGCAGTTTTCATAGATATTCACACATCACAAAGTGTTTCATAATAGAAAAATTGTGTTACTTGTGTAATGAGTAAAATAGAAAGAATACTCACTGTTCTGTGATTTAAAAAAATTGGTTTCCTGGCACTTGGGGAAAACCAGTAGGGAAGAATAACACAAACAATGAGTTTGTAAAATTTTTACTTGATGTTTGCATATTCTAAAGTCTTTGGGGAAATTATTCTGTATATTTTCAGCCAAAACATAATGGGAGAATTGGGTATAAATTCCAGAATTTAAATGCAAACAAAGAGTCCTGTGTTCAGAAACCTGTAAGGTTTAGTTTGGGGCCAATTTTGTATTACAAAATATGCTGATTTCTGGAAATAGGCTTTTTGAGTGATAAATGTAGCAGAAGTCCCAACTATTTTCATACAAAAACCCCTCATACACATAATTTTTGCAAGGGAATTTTACTGAGCGTAAAAGTTATAGTTGGAAATGTGTTGTTATAATTTACCATATTGTTATGATTTACCATCATCATTATTGTTAAAATTAATAATTATTCGCCTATCATGTGCATATAGATTTCAGCCACATCATTCAATTGTGTGTACAGATTCTGGCCCCTAATATAAAGACCCACATCTAGATCCAAGTCATTCACCAATGGACTTACATATATGAAAAAATATGAAACATGCTGAAACCATATTGGTGCAATATTTAAATTAAGCCAGTCTACCTTGACTTTGTTTTTAGTGAAGACCGGCACACCTTGGAATGTAGCATAAAGGACTGCAGAGCACTTCAGTAACATTCATGCTAATGAGTTTGTTTTAGGTGGCAATGCACAGTATAACATAAATCATCCCTTATCAGCTGTATTCCTAAACAATAGTGTTGCCTCCTACAGGGTGATCTCCAAAGGACAAATATCCAGCTAGATTTTGGAGATGGCACTGCTGTGTCCTATGCTAATTTCAGTCCTATAGAAGATGGCATCCGACACATTTATAAGAGCACCGGGATATTCCAAGTGACTGCCTATGCTGAAAACAACTTGGGTTCTGATCTGGCAGCACTCTTTTTGCATGTGGTCTGTAAGTAAATATCAAAGTTAACTCTGAATGTTCCCTCAATTGTTGGCATGCATAATCACTGTTTAACCTTGGTATCAGAAAAAGTAAAGCAGTGATTTCAGGCAACAGATGTATGTGATAGATAGATAGATAGATAGATAGATAGAAAGAAAGAAAGAAAGAAAGATAGCCAGGAAATTGTTACTTACTGATTTATTCTTGTATTTATACTGTACATAGAAGATGCGAAGGAGGTGCTTATGGGATTTTCTGGTTCAGGTGCAGTGTAAGCTTTGTTTAGTTCACACCTGCATGCATATGAATAAATTCCTCCCCCCTTGCCCGGATAGGCTTACAAACTACTTTGCACAGATTTTGATTTTTTTTTTCCACATRCAGACACTTTTTTCCATAAAAATTGCACAGAATTGTTTTTTGTACAAAATAATGTATTTTGAATTGTTTTCTACACAACAAATACCTTTCTGGACAAAAACTATTACCCTGCATATTTAGTGTACACACTTTTTTTTKGGGGGGGGGGCGGTTCTGAAAAAGTAAAAATGTGGTATTTGTCTGTATTTTCAGTGAGATCAGAAAAATTGAAAATATTCTCCTGCATTCCTCCTCAGAGGCCAGGTTTACTTTGTTTGGCTTAGGTACCTCACTTCCCAGACACATTCCAGAATTAGAACATATTAACACCCTTTTAACTACCATAGCTCCAATTTACAGAATCTTAGGAATTGTAGCTTCTTATAGCACCACAGCTCTCAGTCTACATGAGGCGGGATGGAAGTGAATGGACTCCATGGTGTCCGTGTGGCACTTGGAACTGATTTGCCCTACATGTCTAACAAGACCATTTCATGTGGCTATGCCCTGAGTTAGCAAAAGTCAGAGGATGCACTGGAGTTCACCTGCACTTTGGGAATATGTAAACAGTTGTGCCAGTTTTTAATTCTGAACTGACCACTACATGGTCATTCCACTTTTCCTAGGCTTGAGTGACCTGAGGACAGAAGATAGCACTTACCATCATGTCCCGCCCCATTGGGGTCACAGTGTCTCAGCGGGTTAAACCGCTAAGCTACAGAACTTGCTGACCAGAAGGTCAGCAGTTCAAATCCATGGGATCTGGTGAGCTCTTGCTGTTAGCCCCAGCTTCTGCCAACCTAGCAGTTCAAAAACTTGTAAATGTGAGTAGATCAATAGGTACCGCTCTGGCAAGAAGGTACCAACACTCCATGCAATCATGCTGGTCAAATGACCTTTGAGGCATCTACAGACAATGCTGGCTCTTTGGTTTAGAAATGAAGATGAGCACTACCCCGCAGAGTCGGACATGACTAGACTTCATGTCAAGGGGAAACCTTTATCTTTACTATATTACCTATCCCCATTGTAGTGGGAATGATGGAGCATAAAACTGTTGGTGGTCACCACTCATCGCAAGTGCTGATGTTTGTTGAAGTGCCAGAGTTATTGGAAAGGGGAGGGAAGGAGGAGGAGGATCCCTCTTTTCTCCTTTTACACTCTGAATCATTGCTGTGGCAGGGGCAGAATGGTGATGGTAAGGGTGGCTGTTTAGGAGCACCAGACTGGATTTGGCACCATTTGGACCATGTGAACTCCCTCCCAATATCAGAGTAGCCTTGTGCTGTGCTCTGAAGACAACTTCTGACTGCCGGGTCAACTTGGAGGCTGGCTGTGCAGATTTACCTGGGACTGATTCAGAATGTGGTGCTCCAGATCAGACCCTGCATAGGTGGTGCGTTCTTGGTTTATGCATGGTAATGAAAGACTGAAAGGCAGTGGGCTGGATCCTGGTTCTTTATTAAGTTAGCCAAACTCTATTCCCAATGAAATCAATTGGTGTTTTCTTCGATCATTCCACTGAGTTAAATGAAGCTAGTTCCCAAGTAAGTACGTATGGGATTGGAGTATCATGACTAACTTTTTACATTGATATATGTGGGATCTAAATGTTTTAAATTTACACCCAACCTAATCCAGTGATCTGTTTACATTTACCTGGGGAGTCTAATTCAATGGACTGTGCATGAAATTCTGTTTTCTGCCTATCTATTTTATATACAGATAAAAAACAATATATCTACCTTTTCACAAAGCACTGAAATATTTATAGCATTGCATTTTATTTTGTCTTAGGGACTGAAAATGTTTTGCTAGACAATGCTTTATGGGTAGTAAATAATTATATTTTGCTAAAACTGTTCCTTAGCTATTACAAAAGGGACTGGGAACCTACATTCATTGGTTGCATTAATGTGCAACAAATTTTGGTGTCCTTGTAAAAATAAATCCAAGATAAAGTATGATTCCAAGATAAAGTATAAATCCAAGATAAAGCTGGAGTCAATAGCCATATCCCACTACGTAATCAAAGCGATTAATTGATTGTGTTGACTGGTACAATATAGCTGAATTATATTATATTATATATTTGAAAAACGTGGGTTGTTTTCCCTGATTCATTTACATTACTTTTATTTCTTCAAACATTTTAGTTTCATTTTGTTTTGTGTCAGATTTGATTTTATTTCCAAAAACCTCCCACTTCTGTATCATGTTAAATAGAAACAACATATGTTCAGAAAAATGTCTCTCCCCTTCAACCCATGTGAAACATTTTAATTATCAAATTAAACACTGTCTAATATTTTCCAAGAACATAAACTGTCATTGGAAATAGAAATTTAGCTATGACTTTTGTATAGCATGTACCTTTTATAGTCACTGGGACATCTTGTACTTTTTATAACTGGTTTGTAAGCATTTATATTTTGTCTGGGATTCTTGCAGCTTCATGATTAAAGCATATACCAAAGAAATGGTAGACTGACTTCATATTGAAATACAGTAGCTTGATCAGTGTTCTTTACAGATGCATAAACTTCAACATTCCCTGGTTTGTGTATTGTTGCCTTAATTGTCTCCATCGCATCTATGGCCTTTTAAAGAATTGGTGAATCATAATGTGGTTTCTGTTTTCATATTGCTGGAATATTTGACAGTATCTATGATTTATGCTATGAAGTTACTCAGTTATGATTAACTTTTAATATAATTACATATGGTATTTTGCATTCTGTTCATCCTTGATATCAGAGTGAGCAAATGTGACAGGTCATTTTTTTTGTTTTGTCTAGAGTGTCAGCCAGAATTTCAGGTGGACAGTATATTTGAAAATTCTAAAATTGAGAGTCTACTTTTTCTACAAACTCTGTACTATGTCTACTATAGAGTTCCACCAGATGCCCATCATTCTGATGATTGATGATAACACCAACACTTGATCTGGGAAAGGAGATTAAAGGACCAAATATACCATTACCACCCACAGTCCACCCATCTTGTAATTTTCTCCTGTTCGCACAAAGAGAAGCATTCAGATGAAGTTTACAATAGCAGGAAAATTGAATATCTCCCCTTACCCCTCTGCCTTCTGACAACATGACTGCTTTCTGCCCAGTGGGAAGGTGGCTTGGAAAGAAACATTCAGCCATGTTGCCCTAAATGGATGCACAGAGGCACCCATATTGTGGCATAACCTCAGGGTCAGCCCCGGAGGGGCCAGTAAATGACCAGGAGAGTTTGTAGCAGCTAAAAGGTGGGGAGGGGTTGGAGTGAAGAGTTACACCATTTTATAGTCATCAGAAGATACAAATCACCCCCCACCAAAAAATTCAGGGAAAGAATATTTCAATAATTATCTTTTCAAATGAAGTTCCCAGTACATTTAGTTATGTTGTTCCTGCTGGTATAAATATTTCAAAACTTTTCAAATACTATTTTAGATCATTTTCTGCATAGAAAATATAATTTTCCTATCCTTTCTACTGCATGAAAAAATAGCTACATACAAATTTTGCATAGAATAAGTCCACACCTACAGCATACCATATATGGTTTGCTCAACTGTATTTTCTGTATGAACTGTAGTTAGTTTTTTTTTTTACATGGCTGATGGATTGTATTTTAATCTACTTTGTGAACTTGCTCATCTGGGTAGTTTGTAAATATATAGTAAATAAGTGCAAATATTCCATACACAATAACTACATTTTTCCTCAGATAATGCCATTTTCAGTCAAATACATTAATGTTATTGGCAGTAGTGATGGTGGTGGTTGTAAAATGTTTTACAGAAGTTCTCAAAGTCAGACAAACAGAACATCTTGGGACCTTAAGAACACAAATATTTTTTCTTGCAGTAGAGATCTCTTTTCTAGCTCAGTTTGTACTTGCAGATGTATTGTTTATAATGTGTATGCACTGAAGAATAATTCTGAAAGTCACCTTAGGAATGCAAAATATGGTATTAGAAACTGGTCCAGACAGTAAGAATGAGTGAATGCTCTCCCACCTGCTTGCAATTAGAGAAATTTACCTGATTGTAATATTTGAGCAACTGCAAGAAATAATCAGTTATTCTAAATATGCTCCCTGCACAACAATGACAAATTAAAATTCAGTTCCACACATTGCATTAACAAAAACAATGGAGGGAATAACAGATGGAAAGAAAGCCGAGGTTTCAGTTTAAAACTTTGGATTTTTCCATCTGTTTTCATTCTTTCCTCTCTCTTTTTTGTCCCCTTTTAGTGACAAACTAACTGCCTGATTTCTTGATATGAAAGCATCCCTAGCCATCTGCCACCTTACTCTGAGGTCACTGGAGTACATTGCTTGTCTATAAGTCAGGCTTTTCTTGCCTTGCCAGTAAATGTGTCTTTTCCTCCCCCCAAAATATCTTTGACTTAAAAAAAATTCCAGAAAAGACAGAGAAATTCACTTTATGGTGCTGATATTTTATAACTGTGATTTTACAATGATGACAATGATGATGATGATATTATTATTATTATTATTATTATTATTATTATTATTGAGGAAAAACAACAGGAAAAACTCAGCTGTTATCAAGACCTCAAAATTGAACTGCAAAGACTCTGGCATAAACCAGTACAGGTGGTCCCAGTGGTCATTGGCGCACTGGGTGCCATGCCAAAAGATCTCAGCCAGCATTTGGAAACAATAAACATCGACAAAATTATGATTTGTCAACTGCAAAAGGCCACCTTACTTGGATCTGCGTGCATCATTCAAAAATACATCACACAGTCCTAGACGCTTGGGAAGTGTTCAACTTGTGATTTTGTGATAAGAAATCCAGCATATAGATCTCGTTTGCTGTGACATACTGTGTTTTTGTGTCAGTAAAATAATAATAATAATTTTCTTTCTTGCCCACCTCCTCATGGCTCAAGGCAGGTTACAGAACAATTAAAATACTAAAGTACTTAAAAAAAACCCCCTCAAATACACATAATAAAGTGTACCTATATAAAAGCTACACACCAAAACATGAATCACACCAAATGCATATTATAATTCACAAAGATTAAGCAAAGGACACACATTTAAAATTCATGCTTAATGACTGTCTGGATAGGCCCGCTAGAAGAGATAGGTCTTTACATGGTTTTAAAATACTGACAGCTCATTTAGCTGTCAGAGTTGTTGTGGCAGGTCATGCCACAGTCAATAAAAAGGTCCTCTGGATGGTGGTTGCCAGTCGGGTTCTGGCTGGTTGGAGTAGCTGCCCCTCTGAGAACCTCAGCGTTCAGGGTGAAATGTATGGGAGAATGAAATCCTTTAGGTAACCTGGACCCAAATCATATAGGGCTTTAAAGGTCAAAATCAACACTTCGTACTTTGCCTAGAAACTAATTGGTAACTAGTGGAGTGACTTTAGGATAGGTGTAATATGCTTACTCCTAGATGTTACTGTAAGCAATCTGGCTGTCATATTTTGAACCATTTGGAGTTTCTGAACTTGGTACAAGGTTAGACCAATGTAAAGTGCATTGCAGAAGTCCAACCTTGAGGTTACCATTGTGTGCACTATCATTTTCGGGTCCTCCAAATCTAGGAAGGGGTACAGCTGGCAGATCTGCCAAAGGTGATAGTAAGCAGTCCTGACTATCGCATCCAACTTGGCTGACATTTGTAAAGACAGATCCAGAAGTACTCCCAAGCTGCGAACACTGTCTTTCTGTGTGTGTGTGGGGGGGGGGGGGGGGGGGGGGAGTGGGGAGTGGGGAGTAACCTCATCCAGGAGTAGTTGACACACTTCCATTCCCAAATTAGGACCCTTGATGGAAAGGACCTCTGTTTTGCCTGGATTCAGTTTCAATTTGTTTTCTCTCATCTGTCTCCCCTGAATGAATGCCTGGAGAAGGTAATGGGCTAATTACCTCCTCCAGGCATTCATTCAGAGGAGACACACTATCCTTAGCTGAAGCTGTTTTGGAAGGCATGGAGAAATATATTTGTGTGTCATCAGCATACTGATAACACCCTTCTCCATGCCTACAGGTAATCTCTCCCAGTGGCTTCATGTAAATATTAAAGAGCATTGGGGATAGAATGGCACCTTGTGGGACACTACATAAAAGGAGCAGCTATCCCCCAGCACCACCATCTGGAACCTGCCTGAAAGGTATGACCAGAGCCACTGCAGCACTGTGCCTCTGATTCTCAGCCCCTCCAGGCGTTCCAGAAGGATACCATGGCCAATGGTATTAACAGCCACTGAGCAGTCTAGAGGTACCAACAGGGGCACACTCCCCCTGTCAATGTTGAGACAGAGATCATCCACCATACATAGCAGTCTCTACTCTGAAGCTGGTTTGAAATGGGTCAAGGTAGTATGTGTCATCCAAAACTGTCTGGAGTTGGGGGGTAATGGCGTTCTCAATCATCTTGGCCAAAAAATGAAGGTTAGGCACTGGTCTGTAATTATTTAGGTCCAGGGGATCCAAGGAGAGATCTTTCAGCAGTGGTCTAACTCCTACTTCTTTTAAACAGGATGAAAAATTCCCCTCCCTGAAAGATGCATTAGAATTTGTTGTATTAGAGATTGAATCTCCTCCCTGGACAACAAGTCATGATGGACAGGGATCAAGAAGGCAGGTTGTCCTCCTTACTTGTCCCAACAGCTTGTCCACATCAACAGTATTCACCAATTGAAACTGATCCAGTGTAACCCCCCTTACAGAGTTGCTGGATACCTTATTGTTAGCCTCCAATGACTGTATCTAAGTCAGCTCTTATGTGAGAGATTTTATCTGCAAAATGGTTGTTAAAAGCATCACAGTGAGCTACTGAAGGATCTAGCAATGGGTTCAGAGGGGAGGGCACTTAGGTTAAGTCTCTCACCACTTTGAACAACTCAGCTGGATGTGAATCCTCAGACACAAAGCTTGCAGACAGGAAAGCTTTCTTTGCTGCACGTATTGCCATCTTATAGGAGCAAAGGTGTCTTCTTTACCATGTCTTGTCACACAAAAGCCGGGTTTTCTACCATCTGTGCTCTAGTCGTTGTCCTTCCTCATGTCAAACTATATTAATTCTGCAGTGCAGATGCACCCTTATTCTAGTTTGAACTGCTAATAGGATTAAGGTGTCATACAGTTTGCCTATTAATTTATGAGTTAAATGAGCCTTAAACACTCTGGAAGTGGGCAACAATCTTGTTACTAGTGTGCTGGATATTTCAGCAAAATGACTGAAGTTCTATTTTATAATGACTCATATTTCATACCTCTTGATTACAAATATTACTTTGTAAAATGTTTGGTTGAAATTGCTATCACAGACCATAACTGTGGGAATAGTTGGAAGCTAAACTAAACAGTGATAAATGAATTGCACACTAACTACATCATTATCTGAGAATCTTGATCATATTATGAGAACTTTGCAAAATTGCAGTCTACTTTTAGCTTTCTAAAAATAGGGAAAATTAGGAGGCAGATCATATGGCATAGTATATTTTGGGCCTCTATTAAACAGGGGGAATTAGTTGCATTCTTCATGTTGTGTATCTATTTTAAGTTGCTACAAGTGTTCCTTGTTAACAGCACATTACTTAAAAGTAGTTTTCAAAGAAATATTTTACATTTCTTGTGCAATTCACGGTATCCACCCCTTGGAGTATGCATCTGTCAATGGAGCGCAATGCAGCAAAGTGGACAGCAGTACATAAAAACTTTTGCTAGAAATGTTATTTCCAATCTCAAAGGTGCTTCACAATTGCTTTATATCTTTTTGTTATGGAAAAAATCGGTAAATGACACCAACCATTGTCTCCCCACAGGTCCAGTGGAACGTGTTGATTTGAGAGTCCCATTTGTGGCCATCAGAAATAAGGAAGTCAATCTCACTGCTGTGGTTTGGCCCAGCCAATCGGGAACCCTCACCTACTTCTGGTGGTTTGGAAACAATACAAAGGTTTGATACTATAACATATTGCAACATGACATTTGTTTCATTTAGTCCACATTAACACCTGAATCCTGCTAGCAGTTCGAACTAGAATAAGGGTTCATCTACACTGCAGAATTAATACAGTTTGACACCACTTTAACTGCCATGATTCAATCCTATCATTTAATCCTAGGAATTGTGCACCAACAGCCTTCTCTGCCAGAGGCCACTGATGCATACCAAACCATAAAACCAAGCATTCTATAGCATGGAATCATTGCAATTAATGAGGTGCCAAACTGCATTAATTCTAGATTGGAAATGCACCCAAAGACCCACTGAATCAACCAATTCCACATCATTATTGAATTTCCAAGTTCACTTGATTCAGTTGGATTCAGAGCAAACAGTCTTATACTGAAATTCAATAAATATGGTGTAATTTTCGTTTGCTGCCCTAAGAGTTTCTTTAATTTCTAGACATTATACCTCTCTACCTTTCTTTCTTTTTTTCCCTCCTGGCATTTGTTATTTGCTGTACTCCTTACAGTATGTAGTTGGTTATAATTGAAATGTTGTGTTTTGAAACCAATGTTATTTTCTGGAATTCAAAATTACACACTTTTACTGAGTAATAGCATTTATAAACAGTATTCCCAATATGAGTTCCAGCCCTTAGAATGTTAGAATCCAACATTGCAGCTTTCTGAATTCACGAGGGACCAAATAACTTCTGACATCTGTGAATTCAAGAAGATCACAAACAGCCCCTTCCTTGTCTTTTTGTGCTTCTTGTCCCTGCCTTTGGGGAATTTATCAGAGAAATACAAGCAAAACTGTTGTTGAATGTTCAACAACATTAAGTCACCCATTCTTTAGACTCCTGATAACATTTTTTTCCCTGATACTATGGACTTCTTCTTCTTCTAAAAGAAAGTTTCAGCTATTACTTACCATATGTACTCCTGTATAAGTCAACTTCATGTATACATTAAGTGCAGATTTGGGGGTCAAAATAATGTATTTTGTTAGGACTCATGGATAAGCTGAGGATCATTCTACAAAGAGGGGAAAGCAACAGTTCTGCTTCAGGAGGCCATCCATTCCTGGCTTCAATGTTGTTTTGTTACTTGGGGCAGTATTAAAGGCCAGAAGTCTTTCTCCCAAGATGGACTAAGTTCTTGCCTTTGCCATTGTATTCAGAGATGGGGATCATTCTTTCTTGATAACAGTTAGTGTTAGTACTCACATTGACCCATAGATAAGATGAACCACATTTTTTGGATTTCCCTTTTTAAAAACTGAAGTTTCTGGATGTATACATGAGTAAAGGTAAAGTTTCCCCCTAACATTAAGTCTAATCGTGTCCAAATCCAGGGGGTGGTGCTCATCTCTGTTTCTAAGCCAAAGAGCCAATGTTGTCCATAGACACCTCCAAGGCCATGTGGCCAGCATGACTGCATGGAGCACAGTTACTTTTCCGCATAAGTGGTACCTATTGATCTACTCATATTTGCATGTTTTCGAACTGCTAGGTTGGCAGAAGCTGGACCTAAGAGCAGGAGCTCACCTTTCTCCCCAGATTCAAAATGCCAATCTTTCAGTCAGCAAGTTCCCCAGCTCAGTGATTTAATTTGCTGTGCCACCAGAGGGTCCATATGAGTATATAGGGCAATTTAAGTAGGTCTCTTATTTAAGATGAGGTCAGAACTCATGTTGTTTAAACAGTGTGCTGAATTTCCTCAGATGCCTATCTGATGCTCCAAGTGAGAAAATATGACTTAGTCAATAAATTTTCATAAAATACAGTATATTTCAACTCACATATTTTCCCTTACAATGAGCAACCACGCTGGAGATATTGTATATATTCTAGGACATACTCTGAATTTATATATACTGAGACTAAAATCCTATAAATTTGGTCAATGCTCAGTACAGAATGAATTTGAGCCCTAGAGCACTACCCTGAATCATCTGAGACATGCAGGCCTCCCATGACAGATAATCAATACTTCCTTTACAGATAGATCAATGCAGAAAGGATCCCCTCAAGCTAGAAAGCCTGAAAACGATGCCATTATAGTATAATTGTGACTAGCAACTTATAGAAGCTTCCTTATACTGAGACAAACCATTGGTCCATTTGCTCAATGCTGTTTATGCTGACTAACAGCTCTCTAGGGAAGCAGACAAGATTTTTTTCTAGCTATGATACTTTCTTTTTGGCTAAGCTTCTGCATTAGTGCTGTGTTACCAAACTATGTATGTCCCTTCTTCATTTTTGGCAGTTGCATTATATAACTTGGACAATTTGACTAATCCATAAATGAGCAATTATATTCTACCTACAAGCTGTGCACTAGTGGTTCAGAAAGAAAGAAATAAGAACTATTTGGAATTGCAGTTGAGCATATTTTTTTTCTAACTTATGAGAGCAGAGTACTTGAAACGTCCTTTAAATGTTGTTTGGAACCTCTTTTGCATCTCTACTCCTTTTGTGAGAATCAGATAATAAATTATTATCTTATAGTGCCCACAGTACAGGCCCCAGGGGCATAGGAAAGCTATCTATACATTTTAGTTTAGTATTTTCCATGACACACATTTCTTAGGAGGCATAGTGTTATAATCATAGTGCTATGAACACATAATAACCTGAGGAAGAGGAAGGATGAATATGGAAGTTCCTTGCTTAATATTGGATCTTAGACCTGATTTTGAAATTTGCTTGAACCTAAGATAGGTATTTCCATAGGATGACAGCTTCAAGCATGCAAAGATTTTTCTTTATACACTTTTCAAATTAGAGTAATTGCAGTTACAGTTTTGTCCCACCAATTAAGATCTTCTCTATACTTCTGAATCTTGGGTACAATAACCATAATATGAATTCTTCAAACTGCAAGGCTAAGTGGCACCAGAATAGAGGACAGGTTTAAACTGGCTTTGCAAGATGATAGTAATCATGAGATGATGGAACTGAATGCTAAGTAATTCTGCCATTCTGACAGCTTGCTTGAGGATTTTCTGACAAATTCCATAGTATTGCAACAGTAGCTGAAACAGCTACTGAAGAACCGCTGTTCATTCAGGATCTCTGCCTCCATTGTCTCCTGAAGGCTGCACTAGAGGTCAAAGCAGCTATTATTCTCTGAACTCAATTTATGTCCTCTCCAAAAGCAAAGAACTCTAGGAATCATTTCCTTGAACAGTATGAGTCCATGTGGCTTGAGAAGCAATCCTAGAACTCTTTATACGTGCACTGATTTGTAAGCAAGCATAAAGTCTAAAAATCTGCACTAAAGCTTTCCAAATCCTTTAATGAACAAAAGTAAAAAGGGTGAAAATCCCATACACTATCTGCAGTCTCTCCCTCCTCAACATTGTCATGCAATGCATACCTTTTAAATCTGTTCTTCCATAAATATGCAGTTTAGAAAGCTTGATTGCCAGACTCGAGATCTTTGTAGATGAAGCCTCATAGTAATGCAACTAATCAAGCACTGCATTCTGCAAATCCAAACTGAACCCAATAAATCATGATCTGAAAACTTCAGGAAACGTAGTGCTGCTCATATAGCTTTAAAATATGCATGAACCTGTTGAGTTTGTCGATTTTGCTATTAGTACTGCCAAAACACTGCATTTCTGTTTTGAGCAGAAAAGACTGATCGATTGTGGGATGTAAAGGTGGCTATGCATGGCCAGCAAAGCAATCTCCTATTTTACCCACTGTCATGGAAGATTGTGAGAACTATTTCATCAAAGTGTGGTTGAAGGCTTTCATGTCCGGAATCACTGGGTTGCTATGTGTTTTTCAGGCTGTATGGCCATGTTGCAGAAGCATTCTCTCCTGCTTCAACCACATCTGTAGCAGGCATCCTCAGAGGTTGAAAGGTCTGTTGGAAACTAAGTAAGTGAGGTTTATATATCTGTGGGAAGTCCAGGGTGGGAAAAGAACTCTTGTCTGCTTCAGACAAGTGTGAATGTTGCAATTTGTCACCTTGATTAACATGGCCTTGTAGACAAGAGTTCTTTCTCCCACCCTGGACATTCCACAGATATATAAACATCACTTAGTTAGTTTCCAACAGAACCCTCAATCTCTGAGGATGCCTGCCATAGATGTGGACGAAATGTCAGGTCCTGGAACATGGCCATGCAGCCCGAAAAATGCACAGCAACTCATATTCCATCAAATTCTGCATAAAGGGCCAACTCACATGTGAGAAAATCAACTAGGTCCCAACAGCAAGCTAAATTCATATTGCCATGTGGTCAGCATGTTGTCAGACTCTTTTCTTGCATAGCCAGGTGGATTTCGCAGTGCATAATAACTAACACATTTTAAATAGTTTTCAGAGAAGTTGCCATGTTAGTCTGTTGCAGCATAAACAGGAGAAAGTGAAGGAGGAAAGAAAGGGAAATCTGGCAACACCTTTAAGATTGATTCTTGTTTTAACATGGTTATTTCAAAAGCCTTGTGTATATTTGTACAGTTGTGGAAGTGGAACAGAATGGAATACAATTATAAAGATGCAAAATGTGATCTTCACCCTAAATCTGCAAAGGCTATCTAAGATGATATAGATCTTTCAATTCTTTACTGTACTCAGTTACTATTGATGTGTTAAAACAATGAATATGCTAATGAAAAGTCGGTTCCCTTGAGGTCAATTTTTTCTGAAGATTCCTTTTTATATTGAAGTGTAAGTAGTGAGGATTCATATATTCACATATATAGCATGCCATGACACCATTATCTTTTTCATACATCTGCTAATGGGTTGGAATTTGAAAATACAATTCAATTCAGCTTTTTTCTTTCTAGTCTTTACATCCTCTTGAACAATTAGGATGATAGTTACCATTTGCACCTTTCTGAATTCTCTCTACCCTACTTGCCAAACTGAATAAAAATGCTTTATAATCAGAGGCTTTAATATCACTCTGCATAATATCTGAAGAAATAGTTTGATATCCATGTAAGCACGTGCTAAAATAAAAATCCGTTAAAAAGG